TGCCTAGTTGAAGTCGGACCTCCTTCGTGCAGGTGGTGCAGCCGTTGATTTCGTTGCGGATAGTGTTAGGCTCCTTGCAGTGAAGAAGCGAGAAAGTTTGGAGAGATAGCCGTTTACTTTTGAACAGAGGTCATCAATTCTATTCCCAGAAGCCAATATAGAACAGTCGTAAGCGTATGCGATCAGGGAAGTTCCCTCCGGGGCATAAGGGAGCTTCGAAGTGTAGAAGTTAAACAGTAAGCGGGACAGAACACATATGGATCCTCTTGTTTAATCTTCTAGGTTTTGCCGGCCGACCATCGTTTGAGTCCCTGTGTGATAGAGGAAGCCGCAGCGTCTTTTAGTAGCGTGCAATGACAAACGGTGCCAAACGCATTTGACAAGTCCAACGCACAGGGACGGTTATGGTTTAGGCCACGAATTATCTGGGTGTTTAGGGCGTTAAGTGTTACATATTGTTGTGCAGTGTAAAGTACGGGAGCAGCAGAGCCTCAAGTGTCTACAATGATTCTCTGCTTGGTTGTTAGATGCAAATCGAATTCTATAACTGCGGTGATGATTTATTTTATGAACACGAACTGGAAAATATCGTCAACCGTTATGTGGGAGGCTATGGACTGGAGACGTTGAGAATTAACTGTTTTCTCGTATTTGCATGCGCAGGGTAAACATCTCAAAACTATCGTGGCTATACACTCTGAAGGTACTTGACTTAAGGAATCATAGTGTTCAGATAAGCTAAGGCAATCACAAGAGATAATTCAGGAAGTGCTTACACCGTTCCTTCCCTCTAGGAAATACCACCAACTATTTAAAACTTTAAAGTCTTCACTCGCATTTTTGTTTCTTGGAATTACAACGTTCTTCCAGCAAACGAACCAAAAATATCTATATGATTGCAAGTAAAATCATAATCTCTAGACACAATACTTTACAGTTTTTTGTTTTAATTTTAACCATATATGGCACCTTATTTTCACTTTTCTTTCAAATCTCTTCCGCTTCACTCAACTGCTGAAAGGCATGGCTGACACACATTAAGCTGCGATTGACCTCCTTTAACTGAGCGCGTCCAGTTTCCAAAAATTTGTCTGGTTAGGGATTTGGTCATAGCTGTCATGGTTGCTACTTTCGTCTGCCTCTGCGTCTGGCTATAAACACTTTTGCCTTACAGCATTTTGTTTGTTTTGCTCAAAGAATACGATACAGTTGTACATAAAACTAGGTTGATAGGTTCAAATGATAATTAAGTTCAATCATATTTATGTGCATATATACTGCTAACATAAATAATTTCATATCCATATTTAAACAAATATTACGAGCAGTATAGATTTTCCATTTCGATGTTTGTAATAATCATGACCGCATGTTACTAGAAACTCATTGCGACTTAAGTTTTATATGCCTTTAATGATTTTCTAAATACATTCATACATATACATACATACATATACTCTGTAAAAGCGCAATTCCCAATCGCATTAAATCGAATTAAATTGCTAGCACTATAAATAAAGGTAGGACTATTTTTTGTTATATTTAACATCATATACACATATGAGTGTGTATGCATGTGCGTATATTAAAATAGGAGTATTATTGGCTTGAAGCTACATAATTTGCATTTCTCCATACGATTCAGTGTTGTCTTCTTAACTGCATTTGATTGTTGCGCCTGCGTGCATAGACTCTGGATGAAGTGACATACATATGTATATCCATATATTGCGTATACGTACATATCTACATATGTATGGAGTAATTTCCATATGAACATACAAATAATTGAGTATTAAGTTGCGCCCCAGGTGAGATCTTCTTGCGAAGTCTTTATCGACTGACTTTGTGCTTTTAACCTCAAAGTCATTCGGACATTGTTTGTGTGGTGTAAGAATGTTAACTTGTTTGTGATGAGGCTAATCCAAATTCAATCGATGTGGATGCAGGTAAAGTTTATAGGGATTTCTTGTTTTGCTTATTTTCCGTACAGATTTGATATCTGGAAAATATTATATATCTGGGAAATATTATAGTGATTACATAGGATTATACCGTTACCCAAACGTGAAAAGGTGCCAAGAAGTGATGCCAACCGCGGCAGAATTCCCCGATATTGGTGGGATTTGAATTTCTCAGGCGAATCGGGAAATGACGTTAAATTTTGGGAGAATTCAATACACTGAAGATTTTTATTAGAATATTCCTACTGAGAATAAAATTACAACTTGTAATAACAATCTCTTATTTATACGGTGTTACTGATTTAAAATATAACGTAATTGCCTCATGCAACCGAGTGGATATTAAATAAATTGCAACCGTGCATAGCGCCTGTTTTCCCTTGTCGTTTACATTTCGTCGGCTGGGTAAAAGATTGTCGTATGTTAATTTCGGTAGGTTGTGGGAAATCGCGATTGTAGTTTGGAATAGAATTTCTCAAAAACGCGAAGATAGATTTTCTCCAAAGTCTCTGAAAATGTTACTAGTTCACAAAACTCTTAAATTATTTAATTTTTAATGTTTATTGTTAATTGGTTTTGAGTTTATGCTGGGATTTTCTTTAGTAAAATTTTGTCGTAAGCGCCATTTGTTCACAATTTGGCAGCCACTTTGTATGAAATACGACAAAATGTGATCGAAATTTCTACTAAATTAATGACACTTTTTACCTAATATCTCGGAAACTGAAGGAGGTATACAAAAATGGAGAACACAATTTTTAAGATATTGATTAGTTTTAAATTATCGAAAAAATTGTAGACAATATCTCGGAAACTAAAGGAGATATCTAAAAACTGATGACACCAATCGAAAGACCTTATTTCAAAATATATAACTGCATCTAGAACTAAAAATTGTCAAAATGGCGCTTACGACAATCTTTTACCCAGGCGGCGATTTGACAATGCTATCTCTCGCTTCGCTCTCGCTTCTTTGAAAAAAAAACTGCAACCACGAATAGATTTGGCATAGATACTTTGGAGGCAGTTTTACTTACAAAACAACTATCTAAAAATAAAAGCTCTCTTAGTTCTAGTCTTGCTTGTAGACAATTACAAAAATTTTATCAAGAAATATATGATTCTAAGGTATAACACATCCATTCCCGCTATATATGATAGATATGCTTTGTAAAATATACTCAGAAGTATCACTTTTTTATGTTATTTAAAAACACTATCTTTATTATGTTATTATAATTGATGATATTTGTTGTTGTTTTTTTTTCTAGTAAATAGGGGTATTCTAGAAGTCTTGCAAAGCCCTTGCACGGTGCACGGGTCGCACGGTTTGCAAAGCTGTCCCATAGGAAAACCGATTTTTACCATGCAATCCGTGCATGTGGGCCTTACAAGACTTTGAGAATCCCCCTAATGTTTTTCGTTATTTGTTTTGAAAATACGGAAAATTTTTCAGAAATTTGGCGAAATTAACGCCAATAGAGTCGGCATCCCTGCTGCCAAGTATATTTTTTGAAATTGTTCAGCAGTAACGAAAAATCGATGTAGTTTCGCATTATCTGCAATAAAAACCATTATACAAAATAGAAGGTAGTTTTTGACGGTTAATAAAATTTTTTGAAGTTTCATATATTTTGTTAGTATTATCAACGGCCTTGCCACTTTGATAATATTAAAACAGTAAGTCGGAGTATTTTCTTTCCCATATTTATACCAATGTCATAATATTTCAAATCAAAAATCATTATCAGTGCTGCGTATTTTTTTTTTTTTTACTTACGTGGATCGCACATTTAAGAAAAAATACATGAAATACAAAGTGTTAAAGGAGACTTCATCGTAATTATTCTTTTTATTTTATAATAAAAGCAATGAGCGCATTATGTTGCTATATTTTTTTCATTTTCTTATTTTGAATGCAATCTTGTGATTAAAAATGTAATTCTAAATAATGTTCTTCCTAAATAAAGCCTTTTTATAAGTATAATTTGAATCACTTTCTCATGCATTCTAAAACCTAGTTTCTTCAACCCCATTTTTAAAATCATGTAGCCGACAAAATTTTCAAGTCCATCATATTCCACATCTTTGAGTGGGCTGATGAGATCTCTTGCTTTAAAAAAAAAATATTACTTTTGGTGATCAGGTAGCATGAATTTGATGAAATGTCATAATTTTATTAAAAGTCAAATGGTTAACAACAACAACGAATGTCATTAAATGGAACTACCTTCTTTTTTGTATCATGATAAAAACTAAATTTTGAAAAAAGTGAACTTGGCACCTTATGTATAAAATCGTATACTTTGAGCGTGTGTGAATCGGTAACAAAGTTCGCGTCGAGTAAATTTTTGACAACTATGAGGTGAATAAAGTTTCAGTAGCTCATGAGGCTAGTGAAATTTTTAACAAATGCATAGAAAATTTTGACAATCGCAAAGATTGTTGATTTGTGTAATTTTTCGTTAAATGAAAGCTTAAATAGATGAATTGCAATCAACGATGGTAGATGTTTTCTTAAAATATTCATTTCACTTCAATTTGTAATATTTTATTCCAAATAAATCTGCGGTTATCAAAAATTTACTGCTGTCAAAAAATATTTCATTTCACACAGCAGATTGGCACTATAGTAAAAATATTATTCAACAGCTTTCCCCATAGAACTTTGTTACCGATTCACACACGCCCTTTGTATTTTAATTGAAATTCATTTGAAAATCACTTTAAAGTTTAAACTGAAATTCTGATTTATTGAGAAGCAAATTCGCAATGTGTTGAAAAGAAACACGAATCTATTAGTAAATGGAATGCAAAAATTTGAACCAATGTCGCATTCAGAATTGTCCAATTCAAGATAGAAGAAAATCATCCACATTATTGTAAAATGAACAAAATTGAAACATGTGGTAGATTTTCAGCTTACGGTGGTAGAAGTGGTAGAAATGCAATTTCGCAATCTAGATATATCACAAAAGTGGAAAGTCCGCACACTGTGTCCGCTGTCAGCTGTCAGCTGTGCTGTCAAATGCGTAAACAAAAAATTTTGGTTGCCCGCGAAAAATGCTGTCCAAGCAAAACAAATTTTTAGCAGCTGCTCGCCGTTTAATGTGTTTTCCATAATTTTGAATTTTCTTAATATAATAAGTTTTAATTAAAAATGAGTGCTTCTAAAACAGGGCGACCACGCCGCACTAGCGCCAGATTAAGTAGCACGGAAGATGTATTGACAGTGACAGCAGAAGATTCGGATGATGAAAAACAAGCAGCTATGGCACGCCAACCTCGCAGGTCAAGCCGCAAGGTAAGCCCACATAAGAAATATGCCGACTTTGTGCCTATAGGCAGCAAACAACGCAAGCGACGACAGGTGGGTTATGAGGAGACGGATGAGGATACTGAATCCGAAGATGAGAACTACGTACCACCGTCGACAAAGCGACCGGATATTGCTGACATACAGCTGTTGCAAGATGAAGAGGAGGTGGTGGGAAAGAATATGTACGGATTCCATACGCCAAAGAAACGAAATGGTATGGCATTGGCAGCCATGAATACACCGAAAACACCAAAAACTCCAAAGACGCCAATGACACCGAAGACTCCAAAGACATCACGTCTTTCCACATCACAGCCACAAACAAAAACACCGGTTACAAAGCGGCGAAAATCGACGGCCGAACCAAAGACACCGTCACATCTACGACAACGCGTTAAAAATCGTAATTATACTTTTGAGAAAATTTAAAGAAAAGGTTTGATTATAATTTTTTTTTTGCAGAAATCGCTAAACTAATGGATTCCGATTCGGACTTCTCGGCGAGTGGCAGCGACTTCGTTCCCACGGATAGTGATAGTAGCAGCTCATCTAGTAGTGATGATGATGAAGATACCGCTGCGGATGGTGGCGATGATGAGCCAAAAACGCCACATAAGAGTCGCCGACCTATTGTAGTACCAGTGTTGCCCAAGACGCCTTCTGCGGCGCGTGCGCGTCAGTCGGCGCGCGCTAAGAAATCCTCCGTAGACTATGTACCTGAAAGTGAT